CACATTAAAGAACCAGGTGACCCCCCACAATAAAGAACCAGGTGACCCCCCACAATAAAGAACCAGGTGACCCCCCACAATAAAGTAACCAGGTGACCCCTCACCTTAAAGTAGTCTCCAAAGGACCAGCTTCCCAGCATCTCGAAGAAGGTGTGGTGGTAGGTGTCTCGGCCGACGTCGTCCAGGTCGTTGTGTTTGCCGCCGGCTCGGACGCATTTCTGACTGTTGACCACACGGCGGTACGAAGCCATCTGACTGCGAGGATCTGCTGTTCCCAGGAAGATGGGCTTAAACTGGAACCCAAACATGGAGGACGTGAGCAGGAGCTGAAGCTCTGCAGCTGTTTCACTTTGTGGATGATGATGTTTAAAAGTACCAACACCTGTGTTTAGTTTGAAAGACTGTATTTGCAGAAGACGGCAATAAATCTATGGAAGAACCAGAACATGTGACTGGTGAGACAACGGGCCCTGTTTCAGTGGTTCCACCAGAGATGATTCATGGACCATGAAGACGGACTTGAGTGGACGAGACGTTCCACAGATGTTCTCAGGAACCGCCGCTGTGAAGGTCCTGACAGCTGAGAGACTCGCTTCATAGTTGTGTTTCATCACAGCTGTGGTTTCAGCAGAGTCACTGCTGATGGTTCTGATCCAGAACCTGTTCATGAGGTTCGTCCACAGTAACAGGAGAACCTCAGATGTTCAGCACCCAGAAAACAGGCTGTGGACCAGAACCAGTAAAACCACAAGAACCTCCCTGATCATATTTTCAGACATTTCACACATTAAATAAATCCAACGTTAGACCCGAACAGAACCAGCTTGTAGAGAAAAGCAGCAGAACACGTCTCTGAAACATGAATACAAACGTTTGGCTTTCAGGTTCCTGTCTGTTAGAACCAGCAGAACCGGGACAGCTCTGACCTGGTTCATGCCGGCGTTGACGAACAGCAGGCTGGGGTCTCCTCTGGGCCGGACCGGGGAGGACGGAACCAGCAGGTGTCCGTGTTTCTCTCGGAAGAAGTCCAGGAAGGTGCTGCGGACCTGAGCGGCGGGCAGCTCCGGAGCGCAGCCGCCAAAGGAGCGACCTGAGCCGGCGGAGAGGAGCCCCGGCGGCCCGCTGAGAGGCCGGAGTCTCCGGAGCAGCTGCCGGGACATGTGGACCGAACTGTGACCGAACCGAGCCAGACTGACCCCCAAACTATCGCCCACCACGAAGCGCAGGCGCACTAAGAGCCTATCTTCTTCTTCTTCTTCTTCTTTCTTTGACGGTCGCTGCTGAGTGTGAGCGCCGCCTGCTGGTCGCAGTGCGCAGCCGCAGAGCCTGATCAGATTAACGTCCATCAGTTCAGTGATGAGTTCATGAGCCGAACCCGAACCCGAACCCTGAGCTGAAACAAACTCCAGACTAGATAAAACCGGCTGACAGAGGATTTAGTAAAACACAAAAAAACAGTTTTCTGTGAAACATAAGAACACAAAGAAACAGACAAGAAGCGACTGAGAAGCTTCATCAAGGACATGACGGACTCCTTACAGCAGCTGGAAAGTCATCTAACAAACTACATGTCACACAACGAATCGGTCACCTGAACACCGAAGTGTCGGTGTCCTAAATGTGAACACACAGCATCGATCCCGTCCGGCTTCCTGCTTTCTTATTTCTGTTTCTCTGAAGAAGTGAATCTGGTCAGCTCAGCTCTCCTCTCTGCTATTTCCGAGTCTCGCTGGTTCCTTGAACGCCTCCGCAGAGGTCAGGGTCTCACGCGCTCATCAGTCCTGATTATGGTCACCTGTGTGACGCGGCGGCTCGAGCAGCCGTGAGGACGCAGTTTACCGAGTTCACCGGAGTTTACGGAGTTCACCGAGTTCACTGAGCCGCCGGAGCCGTCGGTGGAGCCGCAGCGGCGGGATGCAGAAAGGCCTCAAGAAGTACTTCGTCAACATGGACGAATATCTGTCCAGCCTCGGCCTCTACCGGAAGATGGTGGCCCGGGACGCCTCCAGCCTCTTCAGGGCCGTGTCCGAACAGGTGAGCTGGGTCCGAACAGGTGAGCAGGGAAAGGCAGAGAGAGGAAAGCCACATCCACGGTGAAACCTCAGCAGGTGATCCAGAACCAGCAGCACGTCACTGCTCTGATCGATCACTGACTTCCAGCTGCTTCAGATCCAAACTCTGACACTGAACAGAACCACAGAGAGAACATCTCCTGCTGCCTGAACTCTGTCCTTCAGGTCTAATGTGTGTGTTATTGTGTTAATGTGTGTGTTAATGTGTTAATGTGTGTGTTATTGTGTTAATGTGTGTGTTAATGTGTTATTGTGTGTGTTAATGTGTGTGTTTTTGTGTGTAGTTGTATTTCTCCCAGAACTACCACCAGAAGATCCGACTGGATTGTGCAAACTTCATGAGAGCCAACAGATGCAACTTTGAACCAGTAAGTTCAACACTTGACTGCTAACGAGGTGCTAACGAACCACTTTAATGGAAACGCTGAGTCTGGTTCCATGTCTGA